CAACGATATATAATTTGTATTGGGCGTGGCAAAAGGACTACAAGTTTTTTTATAATAGAAAGCACTCTATTCCGGCGTGCATTTTTGTCGGCAATAATACATGATAACAGAAATGAAAACATTGTCCGAGCAGCGTAATTTGTATATGTTATCTAATGTAAAGTTTCCCGTTGAATCCTAATACGAAATTTAAATGTAAGAGAGTAGAAGAGTTTTTGAGATATAGTCGAATTTCGATTTTTTGAAATCTGAAAAAAGTGCAACCGAAACATTTTGTATGAATTTTTATAAATAATTTTCCGCTAAATCGGAATACGAAATCAGAATAAAAGAGAGTAGAAAAAATTTTTAGATATTGCCATATTGCCAAATTGCCATTGGGTTTTTGGCATCCGTAAAAAGTATACTCACTTAAATAATTATAGTTTTCTCTGGATGTGGTGGGCCATCTTAAATATATTTTTGTATTACTTAGTAAAGACTATTAAATTTTCCATCACCAGCGTTAATAAGACTATCCCACTGGATAAACAATTTAGGAGCACCGTTCTCAACAATCTTAAATCCGAACGTTGGGCATATGTATACACTTTTCTGGCCGGTGTCCTTGAAAAGGTTTTTATTGGAAAGAAGTTTCCTACTCATCTTCGTTCATGCAACTTTTGCGGGGTGCGTCCAAACTAAACGTGGGTTATCCAATTGGACCAGTGCTCCGTTGACTATGAGGATGTCAGACATTATGACCAGTTGGTTCCAAATTGGTTCACATGTTTGAAGAGCGATGCCAAGTATATTGAACTGAAAATGGTATAGTAAATATGTTATGTACATATACATATAAATGGATTAGAGTCTATTATAAATTTTTTTATTTTCAAACACTAATCTAAAATCTCACTTAGCTTTTGGCAACATAAATTTGCTTCCGGGTAATTTTCCGGGTAAATAAATACGTACATACATACATATGCATATATATGCTGATATGCATATGCAGGTATTCAAACACATACACACATATGTATGTAAATGTTTCAAATTGGATATTTACGAATTCATGAAAATTTCCAATAAATCGCGCACATCACACGAAACAATAAAATATCGCGAAAGTAAAAAGAAAACAAACTCTGCAAATATTTACACATAAATAATTATTTAAATTTGTATATGCATATATGTATGAATGTACTTATGTGCATATTAGTGATGTGCGTTTATGGGTTCTTTTGGAATCGAGTTTTGGTACTTTTGGAATCGAGTCCCGGTTCTTCCGGATTCATTTTTCCGTTCTTTTGGAATCAAGTTCCGGTTCTTTTGGAATTGAGTTTCGGTTCTTCCGGATTCATTTTTCCGTTCTTTTTAAATCGAGTTTCAGTTCATCTAGAATCGAATTTCGGTTCTTCCGGAACCGTTTTCGGGTGCTTCTGGTATCGAGTTTCGGTTCTTCTTGAATGGTTTCTCGATTACTTTGGAATCGAATTTCGGTTCTTCCGAAACCGTTTTTCAGTTTTTTTTTTTTTTTTAAATCGAGTTTCGGCTCTTCCGGAACCGTTTTTCGGTTCTTGTATGAACCGGGCCGGTCGGTTCTCCGGTTCCGGTTCCTCGGTTCTGTGCATCACTAGTGCATATGTATCCAATATTTTTATCTGCATGCATACATTGTATATAGAAAATTTGTCAACAAAATTTTGTTTGTTTTTGTTCTTCGTTCAATGTTATTAGAATAACGCTAAGCGCTTGTGAGACATTTTATTTTCTCCCTTTACCCGGCTTACTTTTGTCTATACATACATACATACTAACTTGACAATGAGTAGGCATAAACAACTTTGGGAAATTTGCACAAAAACAGTTGCAAGCTATTCGTTGAAGTGAATTGCTGAAGGCAAATTTATGGAAAAAACCATTAAATCAGGCACTGTGAACGAAAGTAGCGAGTAAATGACCCCAAAAATTTATTATTAGCAATTATTAAAATGGCTAGAAAAATGCACATACAAACATTTATATTTTAATTGTTGTGGAAAAAATTATTAGTAATAAAGGGTAATAAAAATTTTATTAAAACTCATTTGTTCTTCGCTGCAGCTTCAACTTGCCGCGCATAAGTGCCGCTCTGGAGCGTTTGATTGGTACAAATGTAGTGCGTCTGACGGACCACAAATTTATGAGCGAATTGCGCAAACGGCTGGAGGAGGAGCACCGTAATCAATTGGAGCGACGCATAACAGCAAGAGCGGTGAGTAGTGGGAGAGATATAGAGAGGGGAGGGATGTGGTAAAAATTAACGACAAGCAATTAATAAAAAAAAAAGGGTTGAGTAAATTAATAATTTAGTGTTAACATAAATCCTGAACACCTTAAAAAAAAACTTAGGCTTAAGGTAAATTTTTGTTAAATGGCACTCCTTAGTTGAAGTGGTTTTATTTTTTTACCCTTGGAGCGAGTAAGTAACCAATTAATCGCGTACCGTAACACACATATTAAATACCATCTTAGCATTGCAATGACTGAATATGAGTTGTTAAAATTGTTTAATGTCAAATTCTTATAAATTTATTGACTTCTTATGCACGGTCCATAATAAAAATTCAAAACTTTAAAAAACCAATGGAAGTTTTCATATTATTCCTTAAGCCACCAACGGCAGTGACACTTGAGCCGTTAAAGTTAGCGCTCTCATATTTCCATTCAATTTATTTTGATGAAGTTGTGACATGAAAATGCCTCGAACAAATGCAAAGTAGAAGTAAAAGTAAATTAAAGTATTCTTTACGTGGAAGTATTGTATAACAATTTCATTGTAGTACGTATTTACATACATATATACACGCATACATATGTATGTACATATGTCCAAAATATGTATTACATTATTGGCAGGAGCTACTGCAAATCTTAAAGAGACTGCAGTATTTATAATGGCATGTTATAACTACGGTGACCATATTTTTGAAAGCAAAATACAGTACACATTTGAATTTTGTACTAGCAAACACCTGGCGTGCTTTTTTGCGCCTTAAAAGTATTTTTTTTTTGGTGGTGTTACTCCCTCCGAAAAATCGTATGGCCTCATTCATGAAAATAAAATAGATTTAAAGAGCTTTATAAGGTGAGATTTTAAATAAATTTTCGATTTATGAAGCATTCTTTATTTTTACGAATGTGGGTGTTACTTAATATATTTTCGAAGGTATATAAAAATCAGGCAAAGTTTTGACTTTCTCACGGGAATTTAATTTATAGTCGTATAATTCGAGTCTACTTATCGCGCACTCTCTTCAAAGGTATACTTGTTCAATATCAACTTTTTCTAGATTAAAATTTTTCAAATAGGTGGCAACCCGCTACAACAGTACAACGGCGACAGTAAACTTTCTTAAACCTCTTTAGTTTAATACCCGTATTTAAAATTTCACTTATTTTATCAACTTAAACTTAATTGAATACACATTTTCACACGGGTGGCAACCTTCCTCAAAAATTATTTTGGCAGTAAACTTTCCCAGCCCTCTTTAGTTTTATACCCATATTGCAATATTTAATTTATCTTGTGAAATAAATTAAATTAAAGTTTTCAAACGAGTGGCAACCTTCCACAAAAATATTTTCAGCTGTCAGCCTTCTTAAAGGTCTTTCTTTTAACAGCCACATTGCAATATTTACTTTATCTTATCAATGTACTTAAACTGCAATTTTTCTACAGGTGGCAACTTTCTATTTTTTTTTTTTATATTTTAAGTTAGACCTCTAGGAATACATCGGTAAAAATTCATTCATTCAATTCAATTCAATAGTTTTCGAGTGATGCTCGTACAAACATACCGACAGACAGACAGAAAAAAATTCTAAAAATTTTTGATTTGGCTTTTGTTGCTCTAAAAGCCGAGTCTGTTGCTTTAAAAGCAGTGTCACAGATTTAAGCATTTTTTATATTGGAGAATTACAGGAAGTCTTTTCATTATGTTTAAAAGCTTTCTGACAGATTTGCGCTTATCATCCAGTTCGCTGTTCCGCCACAGAACCCTACATTTCATCATTTGCTGTAGGTACTGGAAGGATTCCAGCAGGAACCTCTTGAGCAGATCGAGAATTCCGAGAATTCTAAGCCAAATTAATAAATTCTAGGATTCTATCTAATCTAGCAATAAGTCCAATCGGCGAATTTCAGATCGTTTATGTTTTGTATAGGGATTTTTAGAATTACATGAAGCCTTAAGCGAAAAGCTCCAGGTGGAAAAGTGCCTAAACGGATTTATGACGATTGGCACTATGCCTCTGCATATCCATCTTTCTCGCAGAAAGAACGTCAGACACATTATTAAGCGCACAAAAAAAAAATAAAACAAAACTTTGCGATGTGTTGCAATCATAAAAATTTCAAAGGAATAAATGTCTGCATTTTATATTTGCAATTTAATTTTAATTTAGTAAAATTCTACCTACCTACATACATAGTTCCGTGCCAAGCTAATATCCATAGACCGTTGCCAATATTTTTGTGGCCCAAGTCACTGACAGCTTGACAGTTATGTGACAAGAAGGCATGCAAATAAATGCAATAATGGTATTGGGGCTGACACTAATACCTTTTTTGCTTATATTTTAGCTATTTACAAACACGTATACATATGTACGTGCTATAAATTATTTAGTAAGGCGCACTTATTTTATTTTATTTTCATTCATTTTCTCGAAATTTTTTTTTTTCCAATATCTACTATGCGGCCATTTCTACTCCATCTTTTCCAAATCTTCTAAAATTATTAGCTCCGAGAAGTCGAACGTGAACGTCTCCTAATAATCGAAGGCAAAACGGATGAGATACCCGAAGAACTGGCAGATGATCCAATATTTGTTGTTAACAAAATTGCGAATAAAGAAATACAAAAAGAGCGCGCTAAGGTAAGTTTATCAAATAGGGTACAAAATTACAAAAACTTTCTTACAAATTTAATTTAAAAAATTTCAACAAAAAATGTGTTATGTCTCCTCCGCTAACAATTAGCTAAAAACGAATCGTGAACGCAATGCGGAACGCTTAAAAGCACAAGGCTCCAAATGGGAACGTGAACGTCAGAAATATGTGGAAGAAGAACAACAACGCGTAGAGAATATTAAAGAGCGCAATAAGGCGCAAAATGAACTTGAAGACCGCTACAGAACCGAAGATGCCGAACGAGGCATGGACTTATTGCGGTGAGTTAAATTTAATTGCTGTGGCTATGGTAAATGTCTGCGCGGTTCTAATGTCACGCTGGCAAAATAATAAACATGATTTACTTATGCAATTTAATAGCGCGCAGTCGGAGGGAGTCGCGAGTTGAGTGAAGCGCTTCCAAGTTGTACTTTATAATTACTTACTTTTTTGTTACTTTTTATTTTGGTATTTGTTTTTGCTTTTATGATGCTTATGTGCAGCATTCGTCGTTGAAGCAAAGATGCCTCGAGCAATAGAGCCATTTATTTTAGCGTGCAGCAGGCAACAAACAGCAACAGTGTCCAACACACTCCCTTACTTAGCCGTTTTATTTTTCTAAAGGTGCTGCAGCGTAACCCCAATTCTTATTTTACTCATACAGCTAACTGTTTTTTAAAAGCATGATTATTTTTATGTCGTCCAACTTATCCTTCAAAAAGGATAAATATAAGATACAGCTCTCATTTAGAAACGCAAAGGAGTACGGAAAATCATCTCGACGGCTCCACTATTACAAAATTCTTTCAGCTGAAGCCTTTTGCGTAGCCATATTTCCTTCCAGTTTTAAACTCCAATGAAAGGAAAAAGCGACAGAAACGCAGAGGAAATGGTGGGCGTGGTTTAGCACAATAACGATGAAGACGAAGTATAAGGCAAACATGAAGATGAATATAAAGATGATGGAGATTAACATGCACATGAATATGAACATGAACATGAACATGAACATGAACATGAACATGAACATGAACATGAACATGAACATGAACATGAACATGAACNAGCTCAAATGAGGGCATATCCTTCTGCACTTGGTCCTTCCATTGTAGATAGTTCTCTCGAAAGCTAGTCCATTTTTCTGCACCACATAAAAGGACGGTCATGATGAGAGATTTGTAGAGCGTAATTTTTGTTCAGCGAGAGAGGACTATGCTTTTCAATTGCCTATCGAGTCCAAAGTAGAACCTGCTGGTAAAAGTTTTCTTCGCTATATCTCCAGACTCACATTATCGGTGGTGTTAATGCTGGACTTTAATTAAACAGAGTCCCTCACTATTTCAAAGCTATGACTGCCAACAGTGACGTGTATCCCTATACGCCATGCAGCAAACCAATAACCGTGGCGGTCACAAAAGCATGCGTAATCTAACTAATTATTTTTAGTATTTTCGTTGAATTTTTAGTACTTGTTGTTAATCCCACTACTTTTCTTGTTTTTCTTCATTTAGCATAGACAACGAAGAATGGCGCGAATGTGAGCAGGAGCTGAAGCGATTCCTTGAAGAAGAACGAGCAAAAATGAAGGAACGCTCACTGCGTGTACCAACGCCATTCACATCGGACAAACTGGATATAATTAATATAGTGAGGGCTAGGTAAGACAATTTTTGTAAGACTCCATTTTGTAATTACTCCATTAAGTTCACATATGTATGATTGTAGATACATATTTATACTTTAATACTTCTATTCCAAAAAGTTGCGAGCGCCAAAAAGTGTACTATTACTCAAGTTACTTAAACAAAATGCGAGGTATTGTTCTGATTTTGTTCAATTTACAAATGTTAGTTTTAGTTAGGTTAGGTGTCAGCACCGCGATTATCCCGCCTAAGGCAGGTCTGAAATGAATTCTGCCTGGTAATCCCCCAAGCATCTATGAAAATCGGGATCCGAAATGACATCAAGTCATACCGCATAGGAGCCCAACAGACAGTGTCTGGTTAGCACTCCCATTAAGGCCGAGAATTGTTGCTTAACCAGCTGCAAACGTTTTTGTGACTGCCCGCGGTCTGTCGCAGTTTTCACACAGCGCTCTATATATCGAAGTTCTTATAGATATGCAGGAGCAGTCCACAAGTTGCCACGCTCTCTGTCGGCAAAGATTACCTTTAGGGTGTTCTGCATAGATAATTCATCAGCCATACGATTTCCTACAAAAGTCGTTGTGCCCTTGGACCCAAAGCAGCCTGCTTTGAAGTAGGCCGAGGTGACGCTGGCCAGTTTCGACCGTACGATGAGCGATTCTAGAGCCCTGAGTAAGTATTCACCATTCTTATTGGGATTACACTAGCATAAAGTCGGTCAACTAGCTCAGTCACTACTTCCTCTTAAAATATGCTGCAGTTCCCGTAGCCTAAACCTGTGACTAAAAGCGAATTTCTGGCAAACCGCTTTCAGCTCTACAACCGTCTTCAACCCATTTGTATATATACAACGGAACCTCTCTTCTGGAGGCTAACACTTTCCCATTCACATGCCTAAGGGATGTGTATAGTTAAGGATCCTATCAAAGTCACTACCGTGCAATGAACTCATTAAACATTTGACCCCAACAATTTTTTATCCTACTATAATAATTATTGATTAGACTTTTATTCTTTTCTCGTATAATAGTTATGTCTCTGATTTTTATGTATCTTAGGAAAAAATTCCGTGAAGCCGAGCAACGCATTGTGAAACAATTAGAAGAGGGTGCTAAACAAACTCCCAAAGTTACTGATACCAAACTTGGCAAGGAATTGGCTGAGAAGACGGTGAGTGAAAAATGTCATTTATAACTTTTCACGGTATGTATGAATGTATGAGTGTGTGTATTTTGAATGAACTAAATAGTGAATTAAAGATTTTCGGAAGTTTTGCTTTGATGGTTACTTTAAATGGATTGTTACCCTGGTGACAAGCACTCAGCAATTTTTGCTATTTTAATTCCAAAACTCGTGTAAGCAACAGCGATTTGGCAGCTTTAATGAATTTCAATACGTCATACAGAGATAAGCAGCTGTACTATGAAATATTCTGCAGGAATGGTTTGAAGAGTAAGTCATCAACCTCGCGGGGGGTGGGCACTCGCACAGAAAGTGTTCGACTCCTTTGAGCTGCGACAGAAACTACTGAAGAGTGCACTGATCCATTCAGAATGTACCCCAGTTTCCTGTGCGGACGACTATCAAGGGTTTTGTAGGTATTTTCTTTGCTCATTCCCTAAAAAAAATGATTTTAAGTATGGAATATCACACACAGAACAGCCGATCCTCTGTCCAGCTTTCGAATGATAAAGTGCGGCAAAACTTTCCTTGTTCTCCCTGAGCGAAGCAACCAGGCCGAGTTCGTGGGACACTTTCAGTTCATAGCCACCCCCACTAGTTCGTCCGCTGTCTCGTTACGGTCCTTTTTCAGGTTAATTTCGTATTGATCAGAAATCCAGGCCAGTACTCTCCAACAGTCATCCACTAGTTGAGATCTTACAGCGGTAAAAAAATGCCTGAATAGCCGCTTGGCTATCTGAGAACATATTTACTTACGCTCTCGCGGCGGCATTCGCTTTGATATAACTTACTGCTTCCTTCATTGCAAATGTTTCGGCCTAAAACGCGCTTGCGTGGTCTAATAGGCGAAAGGATAGCTCTGGGTTATATATCTAAAAGAAAGTTCCCGCCAATTCGCCAACGCCGCATTCCATTTTTGACCCGTCCGTACAAACAGTTGAGTCCTCCAAGAACTGGGCCGATGGCAGAACAACGCCGATGGCTGCAGACCAGCGCCCGATAAGAGAGTATATATCGGATACATACAGTGTACAATTATAGATTTAATGCCTATTTGTTTCCTAACGTTTTCTTTGCTGCGTAGAGAGACACCCAGGCCTTTCTTGCGCGCTCTTCAACATTCAGCTTCGAATAACTCCCTTCACCTCGTTTGATAGATCCAGTTGCGATAACTTTGAAAGTTTTTGAAGTTCCACTTGGCAACATTACAAACTATATTAGGGGAAGGTCGTTTCCACAAGAAAGGAGTCATTTGCCACTTGCAACAGTGAAAAGTGCATTTTGGCTCCTTTCTCCATCACCTTCATATCTAGAATAAAGTCTTAAAGGGTTAAGTAAAAAAAAAACTTTGTGGTAGTCAAGCGTTTCTAAAACGATTTATTGAAGATGGTTGCCACCTGTTCAAAATTTTGAAGTCAACATAATTAAGAAATTAAATAAATAAAACTAGAGAAGTTAAAAAAGGCATTATTTCGAAAATGAGCGTTGCCACCTGTTTTGGAATTCAAAATCAATTTGATAAAAAGTTAAAAAAAATGTATATGGGAATAAAATCAACGTAGACCTTCAAAGCTTCATTTTGAAAAAGGTATTGAAGAGGGTTGCCACCTGTATTTTGTAATTCAAAATAAATTTAATTAACAAGTTAAATATTTGCATATGGTATTGAAACGAGTGGGCTTTTAGAAATGTTTATGTCGAGAATATTTTTGAAGACGACTGCCACCTGTTTAAAATTCAAAATCCATTTTATTGGACCTTGGTTAGCGAGTCAAATGTGTAAAAGCAGCAAACAATTTTGGTATCCTTTTTTTATTGTTTAAGAGGCTCATTAAGAAACATACTTTTTTCTCAAAATTTCTGGAATTTTTTTTATAAATGTTTGCCATTTCTCCAATGTCCGCAGGCTGTTATACAAAAGCATGTGCAAGACATCATACAAGCCGAAACCGAAGGCGCAGTTGAATCCGAAGGCAAGGAGGTAATCCGAGAACTAACCGACCGGGAAAAAGAGGAACAACTAAGACGAAAATATTTGGACGATGCTTCAGATATTTCCACCGAATCCGAGGTGCACGAACAAGGCAGCACCATAAGCGAATCGAAGCGACGACATGCAGCCGAATTGGAAGATGAAATGGAATTCGATGTGGAACGTGGCTATCTAATCTCCAAAACACAATTTGAGCAGTTACGTTATCAAGATAATAAAATACTGCAGCTGCAGCAAGCATCGGTAAGTGAAAAATTTGTTGTGGAGGAGTAGAAAAATGTGTGTGTGTGTATTTTTAAAATTCGCCAATTTCAACAGGATATGCGCGAACTATATCAACTAGCTGAGGAGATTATAATTGGCGAACGCATCCAAGAGGAGGAGGTGGAGGAGGAAATGGTTGAAGAAGAAGAGCAGCCAATTGTGGAGGAAGAAGAGGGAGAAGAGGAAGCCGAGCTCGCAGATAATAATTTCTAAAGCACAAACACACACGCATACATACACAACTGAAAGCAAGCAAATATATTGCTGTTGTAAAATTTTACTTGCTCACAGTAAAACGGGGGCGCTTATTAGTAGCTGGTAGCTGAAAAAGAGTAACAGCTTTTAAAATGTCAGACTTAATTAAATGCATACTTTTGTAGCGTTGGCTTAGTGGTGAAATGTGCTTAGTTCACTTTTAAATGAAATTATGACTTTTAAAGAAATCTACGTGGAAGCACAACATTTCTAGGCGTATTTTAAAGCTTCTTCTAACCAAGCAAGCGCATGGACTTATCGCTTTTATACTTTCGGCTAGCGGTATTATATAGTAATACTTGTACACATATTCACATTCATGCTTGTATTAGTATGTATGCGTGACACAAATAAATCAAAAATAAACTTGAACTCTGCAAAATTTATGAAGCGTCAACAAGTGCCTTTTATTTATTTTATTCGCCGCTTAACGCTACAAATTAGAATAATAAACGGCGAAACGATAAGCATTGTCAGGAGTGCACTTAATTGACAGTTGATAAACGCGCTATAATCAATGTGTCAATATCAAAATGAAACAACGAAAAATCCGCTCAACTAATTCTGAATCAAAGCGCGTATAAACGCCTAAAAATATGCAACGGCACATGCAACCATAATCCACTCATATGAAAATATTACTTAATACTACCTGCTGCCAGTGACGCGACGACTAAATTTAAGCGCGTGTAATTTTTTTCTGTAAGTGTGTGTGCGTGAATGTGGGTACTCACTAGGGTAGTCCGAAAAATGCATGTGAAAAAGTAAGGTCCGAATTTTAATGCTCAAAACTGCGACCGCAGGCGAAACTCTTTAAAGCTCGCTGTAGATTTTATATGAGCTCGTATAGAGAAAAATCTCTCTCTCAGCTTCACTGTTCTATGTAGAAAAAATATGCCCCTATTTTTTTTATTTCGAAATCAAAAAATATTTTGAGGTCGCTCAAAGTGCTCAAAATTTTCCATGTAGTTTATATGAGAAAGAAACCTATTTTTCCCTTCTGTTTCTTTATTTTTTGAAAAAATTTTTAACATTAACTATTTTATATGGGCTACCGCATTGCATTTGTTGGTGATTTGGGGCCCAAAAAAAAATTGTTAATATTAAAAACGAAGTTTTCCAATCGAGAAAGTATTAATTTTCAAGAATTCTGTACTATTTCTACGAAAAATTCTTGTTTCTCCACATAAAATACATACACGGACATCTTTGAGAGCTTTGAGCGAACTTTAAATATTTCTTGATTTCACAAAAAAACAGAGTTTAATTTTTTCCGACTTCACTTCTTCTTTTTTTACCACCCTAGTGCTCACGCGCTATCGCTTTTTGCTATTGCTGGTGGGTGTTAGTATTTTGCCAGTGGGTGTTTCACGCTCCTTTCATCGTTATGCCCCCCGTCGCCGTTTTAGCGTAAATATCATGTCGTATCCTCTCGTATCAGTGTCGCATTTCGTCACAGCTGCTTTGTCAATTACAAAATTTAATCACCGTTGGCGGCGTACCCCCTCGAATGCCCAGAAGTGGAACCCAGCACTTGCTACTTATTACACGCAGTCGGTCACCGTCAATAATTACCAAAGGCATTTTAATATGTTAGTGTTAGTGTTAGTGTTATTGTAATTGGTTTTCTATTGGACATGCACTTATGCATCCATGACGAGTGAAAATTGCGCCCATTGCAATTAGTTGTGATTTGTTTTCTTGCTATCGACAGTACGAATTTAAATGAATTCTGACGCAATCGAATAGAACACGTTCTTCAGAAGTGCATTAACTCAAAATTTCCTTTTTTTTTGTTTGTCTGAAAACATGAAAAAAAAACTATTTATCGGTTAATCACAGAGTAAAGGCAGGCCATAAACTGAAACAAAATCTTGCTTCGGCACAAATAGCAAACTTTCGTAAATGAGTATCTAAATTTTTCAGTACAAAAATCTGTAGTTAACTGCCGATTCTGAGTTAACTACGCACTGTGAATTTTGCCCTTAATGTTTTTTTTTTCATGGTTTAGCATATGTGGGACAAAAAGAAGGTGCAAATTTTGAATTGCGCTGCGATCAGATTATGCCCAATAGGGCTTTGAGCCTCACATGCTATTAATATACAAATATTTACAAAAAAAAAAAATTATCTGTTGGAATTGTGAAAAAGTATTTTTATTTGTGCATGGACTCCATTTATACACCCTTACTCACTTTTAGCTTACATTTGTTTGCTGTAGCGCCTACCCAGTCGGACCACTGTACTGTTTTTTTTCACAAGAAATTCGAAGCACTTTTAAATTCTGTAGGCTAAAATGGAAGGCTAAAAATCCATATATCCGGTAACGCTTTGTTTTTACAAGGAAGATATATATTTTTTAATTTCATTTAATTTTTGGCTCTTATGTTATGATTTTTTTTTTTATTTAATTGTTTTTAATTTTTAGATGTTATTATTTTAAATAGAAGAATAGGCTTTTTAATTTTATTTAATTTGTTTTTTTCTTCTTTAGTTCAATTTTCCTAAAATTTTTAGATTTCATTTTTTTACAAAAGATAGATATTTTTTTATTTAATTTAATTTTTAGAAACTTGATTTATTTCTCTCTTTTTTATTTAATTTATTTTTGTTCTTTTAATTTTTTTTCTGTTATTGTTTAAAAAAGACAAATATATTTTTGATTTCATTTAATTTTTAGGATCTTATTTTACTCTTTTTTGCCTTTTTCTAATTTTATTTTCTTTCAATATTAAGATTTTGTTTTAAAATTAAATATATATATTTAATTTTTTTATTTATAAATACTAGTGTGTTTTTTTTTGCGACTATTTTTTTATTCCCACCTCGAAATTTTGTGGGAAATAACTAAAAACAAGTAGCTTGAAAATTTTAGCCCTTAATATTAATATTAAGTGCTCGACCAAGGCGTGCAAAGATTTC